GCCTTGCCCCCAGCCCAGCAACCCCCCCCCCCCCCATACGCCCTCCTACCTTGAGGTCACTGCCTCCTCCAGTGGGGCCTAAGGCCCTGCTAGCTCTGAGGGACCCAGCTGCCAAGGGAGTGTCTTCAGGGGGGCTAAAGCCCTGGGCTGGGCTGCCTCTTGCTACTGCCGGGAGTGGGAGCGGGGCGCTTTTTGGTTGTCAAGTACCTGCAGGAGAGGAGGGTGTTGCTTAAATTTGGGATCTGTTTGCGTGTTAACCTCTGCACCCCACCCAGTGATGCCCACTGTGCGCCAGGGATGAACGGGAGGATGGATGCCCTTGCCCCGTGGTCCTGCCCGGAAGCGCCCACGGGCGCCTACCCTGTGTGTTGCAGAAAGCGTTTTCCTTTGCCCCGCAGGCCAAAACTGTGTTTTCTGTTGCAACGCTACTTATACGATGGGATAAGATAACGCCTTATCTTGCTGTCCTGGTAATAAGTCAATCTAGAAAACCATGACGTTTCCACCATGGATATGCAGGTCAGGCCTAGGGCATGAGCGCAGCAGGACCAAAGCTTTGAGGAGGTGCTGGACTGGTTTTGCCTGACTGCTGTTCAGCAGCCCTGTGCCTCCAGGAACTGCCCCAAAGACAAGCCGGCAGCACGCACACGCTAACTCCAGCTCTTCCTGGCAGCTGTGGAGGTACCGCAGGTGCTGTGGGGCACACTTGTGTGTGAAGACCTGTCTCCCAAGTGCCCAAGTCACTTTGCCTGCACAGTCCCTCAGGGTAATATATGTGCTACCAGCATGCGAATATGTATTTCTGTCTAGTCCGACTCTTGACTAAATAGTCCTAAAGCCTTGCATGGGGAGTAGCCAGAGCCAGCTAGTTCAGAGTGGCCTGATGGTCACAGGTCCATGTGACTTCACAGGTAGCATGGAAAGAATTTTGTCATGTATCTGTCAAAGCTTAGTCCCCTCTCCAAATGCTGTTCACAGAGTACTTTACAAAATAGAAGTAAGATGTATCTGTCAAGATACAGCATAATTTTAAACGTATCTAAGTCTTACTCTAGGGCACTCAAATTGAAAGTGGATGCAAGACGTAGCTCTTTTGACTGCAGAAACCTTTGGATTTTGTTTTAAAGCCAATGAAGTTATTTAGTAACAAAGATCCAAGAGCAAACAATTGGCTTCAGCTTCCTAAGGTACTGAGCTAGTCAAAGTTGAGTTCCTTACTCAAGCATTACCTACAACACGGGAACAAAAGATAGCAAGCCAGAATGTTTACTGAGGACCAAAGTTTGGACCTGAGGAGAGAGTGATTCCAGCTGCTTCAGAACTGCCGGATAGTTGTAAGTACAAGCCACCCGAAAGAAAAGGGAAAAAGTTTTGCTGCCCAGGCTGGCCAAAATTCAGCTCTATATTCAGACACTATTTACCAAATATAAGCACAGTGAAGCAAGTATAAGGTGTGGCAGCTTATTACATGAATAAAATTTAAGATCTGCGGGTGTCCAGCAATGTCAGAACAGCTGGAGCATCTGGGAAAGAGTCCCTAGAATGAACCCTAAAAGCATTTTGTCTGATACAGCTAGTCAAAACCCAATCCCTCATTTGAATAATTATCAGATAAATAGTGAAGCATTAAGTGTTTATAAAGTTAAATTATATCTTATGGTATTTTTTAAATTGTTCTTGACATAAAGAAGTAGAAAGAGTGAGATTGAGAAGAAGGAACGACATTCCAAATTCTCTGATCCTATATCACACTCCCCCTAAAGTCAGGACAAGCCAATTGAAGGGAAATAACAACACAGGACCACCAGCACCATCATTGTCTCCTACAGGGACATTCCTACCAGATAGAGTACTACACACTCTGTGCAACCTGCTTTGTGGTTCCCACCTTACAACCTTTATCAAAAAGCAAAAACTTTGTTTCCAAGTGCTTGTTCATGTTGCTTCCTATCTTCCTGATCATGTTTGGGGCCCTAGGAAGGAAAGTGCTGCTTTTCTGCTCAGCCCGTTGTGACCATTAATTTTTGAAATCTAAACTTCAATAGGGCTACATGCAGTCTGTACTGCTGTGCACTGTGACTGCCTGCCCATTTAACAGCCCAAATTTGCAGCTCCTCTGCCTTGCTAAATAGCACTTTGCAGTTGTCACACTCCTCCTAAAAGGAATTGTTACAAGTTCTCCCATGCCAGAACCAAGTCTTCGGATAAGACAGAGTAGAGCCTGAGTGAGAATGAATCAGACTCAGATTTAGGAACAAAAAGGAAGACTTTACAAAACAGATTTATCTGGTATTAGTTCAAGCATGGAAAGAGGTTATTTTTCTGCAGGGGAAGACAAGTGGACAGCTTGCATGCTGACAGAGTAATTACACCTGGGCCCCTGAGAGCAGGTAGTTCAGCAGGAGGAAGTTGTAGGGAAGCAATTTGTCTCTTCTCTCAGTCTGACACAATCATAAATTGATGCGGTTCCCAGACAGATTATGACTACAGGATCTGGTGAGCCTGGGAAGAAGACGACGTGTTGACAGCTTCTACATCCAAGGGCATCAGAAGGAGTCTCAAAGGAAGCAAGAAGACTGGGAAGAAGCTGCTCTGGGGAAGAAGGTTTGTTTATTTTGGAATCATGTGGTTTATCTGGACTTCTGCCACTAGCTCTCTATGGAGTGTTTGTAAAGCCTGAGAAGGAGTCTCTGGGGCTTTGTTAAATTTGACCTTTAGCATGCTTGTTTCACTGAAGAGGTAGTACCCTGAGGAAGCACGGCTCAATGTAGCTGAAGAATCAAAAGCTGGCAACTTACAAAAACTCCATGAATCCCTGTGGATCTAAAGGGAGGCACTGGAACTGAAAGAATTATCCTAAAACCACAAAACAGATAGCCTGAGGTTTAGTCTGGAGACTAGTGCATGAGGCTTAGTTTGGAGACCTAGTACTTTTGAGGACCTTGGACTAGAATTGCTAGTAGAGGTTGGGCATGTTGAGACCTTCTCACATGGGGTGAAAATACAGAGAGAATATCTAAGACTTGGTAAACACGGCAAAAAAGCAACTACGGTTAGTGAACTGTGTGAGCAGCAGAAGTGCTTACACATCTTTAACATTCCATTGAGAATCTCACACAATCCTCCTGAAGATGCCAGTAGGAAGTGCTGTTGACCACATAGCGTCAATAGGAGATGAAGCAGCTTACAGATTGACTCATGCCAAGATTCACAGATCTCGCACACGTTGCAAAAGTCGTCCCAGCATCAAGAGGGTCACAGAGAAACTTGCTGTTTCAAACAGACCACCACTACTGCAAGCAGCAAAAGACATAATGCATATTGCCTTTTCCTCCAAGTTTTACCTCCTTCCACAGCAGGAGACCCGACCTTTCCAGCCACTAATTTGACTTGATACCACAGAATTCCTTTGCTGAAGTAGGCTGCAAAGCAACAAGGTGGCACTACAATGCGTATTGCTAGCCAAATATTTAAGGCCTAACTGCTCAGCAGCTGGAATGGAAAGCTTCCTAGCTCTATTTTTCTTTATATACCACAAACAGTAGGGTATTATCTCCATTCCCAAATGACCTTATGATCTCAGTAGCATACATGTGCATATGTATATGTATATGTATATGTATATGTATATGTATATGTATATGTATATGTATATGTATTTGTATTTGTATTTGTATTTGTATTTGTATTTATACATGCAGTTCCCAACCTAGGTCAGCCAAACTACCAAATGCTCCTGAAAATTATAGATGCAGCCTGACAATGGAAAGCACCCACTTCCTGTCTCAGACACAGACATTTCTAGTATGGACCAGACCAGAGGACAGTGGTATCAGGGCATGAGTAACATGGAGGGACATGCAGACTACATGAACAGCTTTGAACAGCTCCTGCAACATTTTTAGTGATGGTAAACAGCTGAGCAGGGGATCCTGTCCAAATCCATGGGTAGTCTGTTGAACAAAAAAAGAGGAATTTTCTTGGAGCATAAAAAATGTTCTTCCTACGTAATTCTGGTTTTGTATTACTTTTGGGATCCTACTTTTTGGCTGTAACCTTGCAAAGAGCTGGAAGAGGCATAACAGATTGACAGGCTGCAATAGCTTCTTGAGACATAGGAAGGTGTTGTTTCTGTTTCTTAACAATTAAACTTTGCTTTAGCTGGAGAGTTAAACAGATACAGACTCTCTGGCTATATGCCCTGAGCCAAAGCTGCTAGAATAAGTGAAGCACCTGGTTGATTCACCTGCCCCATAAAATACTCTTTTTCTGAAACAAGAATGAAACGTGAGAGAATTCACCCAACTTTTATTGCCAACTGCATGATAAATTCTGAGGTTTTTCCATGCTTCACTGGGTTTCTAAATTTTAAGGTTTTTTGAAAGATAAAAAACCCAAGCAGTCTGTAGTTGTGCAGAATTCTAAAACAAGTGGGGATTTCTACAAAGATCATCACCGTATGAGATTTGGGAAGTTTACGTTGAAATCCATTCCTGAAGCAGAAATAAATAATCATACAGTCCCCCTTATCCTAACATCACAAACAGCAACCAGATCAAGTCCACAGAATGAGCCTGAGACAAAGAAATGATTGCATTTGCTTGGGAAACAGGCGTCCTTTGAACGTGCTCTAATTCCCTCGCCTCTGTTAAACGGTTGTGCTTTTTGTTTGCTTTTTTAAGTTACTACCACCCCTTGAAAGTCATGTTTTGCCTTCTGATATCTCCGGATATGCTTTATCCTGTGGAGGATCTCTCCCCTATACTACTGCCAGAATAGATACCAGTTCTGCCATGCTGCATCTCCCCATGGGAAGTGCAGTGGTTGAAGTTACAACACTACAAGGAAAGCGTGCTGCACTCCCTGAGACCATCTAATGTTCTTTTACAAGAAGGTCTGTTTACATATATTCACACAGTAAATGTGTTCTCGGGCTTTTAAAATTATTCAGAAATTGGTATCCAGCCTAAAGTCATCAGCAGCTAGGTTTTCCTCCTGACAATGGCAAGAGCTTCCCTTCTAGGACAAGCTCTGGGGCCTCATCTAGACACTCGTTTTGGTCAGAACTCCACGAGCAGCCCAGGCTCATCTGACAAATAAGTGAGGTCGGATGGATTCACACATTCTGTGCTACACTGGCAATTTTTTAACCTTAACAAGGAAAATTAAAGACTCTGCTAGCAGCCCCTCTTTTCCCTGTTGTTTAAATAGCACAACTCTATTGCAAGGGAAAACTAACTGCTTCCACTTGGTATGCTCATACCAGAGACACTTCAGCACGGCATCTCTTAGTGTTTAGAGTGTTTTAGAAAGCCGGCTCCAAGGATGGGGCTCCACAGGGAGCAGAACTCCCACCTGAGGACACATATGCAATCCCGCTATACGCACAATTCCCTTGTCCTAAATGGTAGTCACACAAGCCCAACACCTGCAGAATCAGTTCTGCTTATACAGAACAGAAATCAGTGGGACTTTGTATGTGTTTAGTGTCATATTAGTCTTCCCACCAGTAGCCCCTCAATAAATTGGTGACTACAACTCTGGGGCTGATAACTGCTCATTTTCATTCATGCATTTAATTCCACTTGCAAGAAAGGGCAGTGATGGGGAACCTGTAATGTTTAGAAAGGAGAATGGAGCTGGCATCCGACACTAAGCACGTTCCCCATTGCCGGCTCTGCATTGCTAAGCCAGCTTTTGCAATAAGAAAAGTCATTTTATTCTGTGAAACATCAGATTTGCAAATTGCAATGTTCAAGTTCAGCCATCATCACCGATCAGCTGGACCTACGCCTCTCCTTTCCTGTGTGTGCTGGATAGCGATCCCAGTGTACATCCCCTTTGTTCAAAGGCAACTGACCTCCAGCTCACCAGTGCAAGGAGCTAACAGATGCTAGCGACTGCTTGGCACCCATGCGGTACCTCAGCGAAGGGGGCAGACTTCTTAAAGCGCTCAGCAGCTCCTGTGAAACTGTGGAAGTGACTTCACGCCAAGCGCACTTCAAAATCTGAACCATGGGTAGAACTGCCTAATTGACAAAATTTTTCTGAATAAAGGACAAATCTCACCTAATATTTTTCTGCCATCTGAGAACCTGGCCTCTTCCGTATCTCTTTTGGGACTTTGCTTGGCCTCTCAAATTTGTTTTACTGCCTAGTCACTGCGCTGTTTCATTTCCTGGCTACTTGCCATGAGACATTTCTGTAGGATTTTCAGCTCTGCAGCAGCTCTCCCGCCCTGCCTCTGTCATCCAGCAACAATCAGCTAGTGAGGAGTGTCCTAGAGCTATAGAAGCAGCTCGCTGGCTGATCCTGCCCACAGGGTAAAGCAGACTTGCTGTGGCCTTGCCGTCCCTCATGGTGACAAAAAGATGCTATGTCTCAGGACTGATGCACGTGGAAAGCAAGGGGGAAATAAGGAAAATAGCCTTTCTTGGTAATTTTGCAGCTATGAAATCAGTTGATCAAACACCTTAAAATACATCACGTGCAGAGGCAACTGAAAACGCAGAGCTGCATGGTTTCCTAGATAGATACTTCCTGCTTTTTATCATTTAAGTACAGGTTCAATACAGAACATTTAAAAACATTTAAGATATGTAACAGAGGGACTGTTCAGGACTCTACTGCAAATTTAGTTTGGCAAGTTGTGTTCGGTTTATTGGATAAGACCCAGACCACAATAAACAGCCTTCAAGTTGCAGCATGTTTACTCCATGGAGTGTTAATGGAAAGGCTTGTTTGTTTTATCCTGTTAAATCAAATAAAATCATTTTTGCAATTAATGGGCATACATTGCACAAACAGTTTTGCTTTATCAGGAGGAACAGTTCCCAATAGGTCTATCGAAGCAACGTGTTAAATCATGCCTTCAGCTCTGGATCCATTTTATCTGCCCTGCCATACCTGAAATTGAAAACAGCAACTTTCATAACAGCCGAGTCTCAACTGAGTGTCATTTCATTCCCTGGATTTTTTCATTTTATTAATTTTGCCTGCGTGCTAGTTTCCTCTTGCCAGCCTCTGCTGAAGCTATCCATGCCGCCTTCTATTTCCCCTTCATCAGAAAAACCCATAATTCAGAGCACAGCAGCATCCATGCATTTTATAATCTAGTTCTACTGATAAGCAGAGCTTTTGAATTTTACTGAAGTGAACGTCCATCTTCCTCTGAACAACTCAACTTTCCCAAGTGGTTTACATCCAGCTAGATTTCATGCAGTACTCTTCTGGTTCAAGAAACATGTGATGTTTGCTTGTTTCAGCAGCTTTCTATCCATTGCAATCTTCAACCTAGCGCTAGCAATGTGCTCCAAGCCATGAGTGGTGAAACGCCACATGAAGTCCAGGCCATGCTTCTGAGCTTGCTTTTGTGACACTCTGTGCCTGGGTACTGCTCCTTTACCCTGAGAGTGAACTAGAGATAGCAGAAAACCACTGGTGACGTATGAGAGTGTATACACAACCCTCCGTGCCTGGGACCAGGTTCGCTGGCTCCGTGAGGAGATATAACCATGCAGAGTGGTTCAAAGCATCTAGGCTAGACTTTGGCTCTGAACAGAGACTCCTATTCTCTATCAAAAGCAACTAAACTGAGAAATCAGCATTGCTGTCTTCAGGAACCCTCTCAGAAACTTAAGTGGGAGAGAGCAGGAGGTGGGAACAGGGGGCAAGTCAAAGGAAAAAAGAGGTCTCAGAATTCTGGCTCTTTGACCTTTCTTCATACCGTTGTGACTGATTAGACTCAGAATCCCACAGGCTGCCTCAAGCCCTTTCTCTGGCTTGCATGGAACATGGCTGGTTGTGAGGGGTGACGTACACGGTGCCACAGCAGTGTCCTTTCTCTGTCCCATGAAATCTCACTGTGCTACAGCAGAGACATGAGACGGTCTCCTCTCCCTTTGCTCAGGTTACTTTTAGCAGCCATAAACCTTCCTACAACCTGTAGTGCATCCTATATGTCCTTTTGCGCTGAGGAGATCCTGGAGCAGCTCTTCCAAGTGCTGGCAAAACAGGATCCAGGCCCTATTTTCCTCAATGGCACATTTATACCCATTTTCCCTAGAGTGCCCCCCTCTTGTGAGCCCTGCCACCACCAGCCCCAGCGTCCAGCTGGGGAACAATCCACAGCTGTTGCTCTTTGCTGTTCAGGTGTCAGAAGCAAGTGCTGAAGTTTAAGGTCCAAGCTCTGCTCACACTCATACACTCATACATGTTATTTATAAAAAAAAAAAAAGCCAAGGAAAGCATTCACACAGAACAGCATTAAAACAAGCATTCCTCTGGTTGAGTAACCAAGCATGGGAAAGCCAGGAGACAAGACTGCCAAGCCCTTCTAAAACCCTAACTTGACCTCTTGGACCCATGTGCTACACCAGACCCCTTATTATGGGATGCCACAGAGGGAGTGCTCACAAAGACCCCTTCTCTTATTCAGCACAACAGAGCAGATACAAAGGAAGACCAGCAGAGCTAGCATTTCCTAGCTCTCCAGTGGTTGATTTCACAACAGGAATGATTATCTTTTTCATGTGTGACAATAAAAAACTTTGCGAAGAGCAAAAGTGGGAAGGGACGGTGTTTCACTTCCTTAAAATTTATGACAGAGGAAGACCATCTCTTTAGGTAGTGATATACTTGCATGGCTCTTTTACTATGCTGCTGTTCCCTGTTATTGTGACATGGTTCAGTTCATACCAGGATGTTGCTATTTACATTTGATTACTTATCTAGTATTTTTTTTTCCCTTACAGAAATACTGTGTTCAACCTCTTCTAAGAGCAGTGCATTCTGCACCTTCTTGGTGTGAAGTGGTGTTGAAAGAGGTGTATGCATCTTCTGTGTACCTCCTACAGTTCGGTTTCGGGGGACTTCACTGTACCAAGCAAGCCAGATGATTCAGATAGTTAAAGGTTCTGCCACGACTGAATCCCACACATCCAAAGATATATTAAGATGGGAAAATGAAAAAAAGGAAAAAAAAAATTCCATTACTCCTTTTTCTCTTTTAAGGCACCTCTGAGAAGTTTTGAATAACATCTGCTACCTGTTAGAAGTGGCAGAAAAGCTGCTAACCTTGTCTGTCTGAGAAAGTGAGACACAGCATAAACATTTCAAACCCATTTAAGCTGAAACGAGGCACTGGGAGACCCACAGTCCACCTCCAAGGGGTTAGGTGTGTCTAAGCACCATCTAAAGACTGTATGAACGCTTTCATAAATCAATATACCTTGATTAAAAACAGGCATATTGCTAGGCTGATTGCTTTTTTTTTTTTTTTTTTTAACAAAGCTTATGTAAAAAGGTTGTTCTGCACCTCAGCAGGAGCAGGATATCCTGGAATTTTAGCTGACGTCCATCTTCAGCTATTGTGCAAATACACAGGTATAAAGAGACCTTACCTTACTTGGGCCACAGTGGAGACACTGCAACAAGGACTTTCACGTCGAGACATCAGCAGGAGCTGCCAGGTGAGAGATCGGTTCCAGGTAAATGGCTCTTTATGCAACTGTCTCCTCTCTGAGGAGGACAGGGCATTTCTTTTCTACCGCTGTGACTTTTCTTTGTGGCTGGGTTTTTGCCAGGTGTCGCTGCTGGTTATTACACCCCTGAATAGTAGCCAAGCAAGGAAGACTGCTTGGCCAAAACAACTCACAAACATAGAGATTTCACGTGATGAAAAGAGGCTACGGATGGGACAGCTGGTGCCTGCTGCCCGATAGCCTACGCTTTCCAAGTGGCCTGCCATACTCAATGTGTATTCAGGCCTCTAGCTAGAAATTACCTGATTTGCATTGCTTCTCTGTGACCATATCCCCCATCAAAATTAATCGGAGCTCTGGCTGCTCAGTGCTTGACTGAAAATACAGGCCACTTTGTAGCGGACTGAGCAGTTTATCTGCATGTGCCCAGGTGAGCAGTAGGAAAAATGCAATCGAATACTGGAATTCGGCCACAAAGAAAGCTGCAGAGATAAGTGTTTTTTACTGTAGATAAACGCATCTGGTTTTCTTGATGAGATCAAGCAGCCAGAAGAACGCTCAGGATTGCCTCAGAGCCTCCCTAAGTTTTTGCTGTGACCCCTTGAAATCAGCCAATTTTAATAGGGAAGTGAATATTTCCTGGGCCTTTCTTCTCCCAGAGCTTTTGCGTATTTGTCAAGCTCTGCCTGCTTGAGTTGATCCTTTCCTCTCGCAGTTGTTGCCAGCCAAAAACATGCACTCCTTTCCGCTACTGTGCTCCCTCGTTCTCTGCAATGGCCTAATGGTGGCTGCACAGAGAAAGGTCCAGGAGCTCCCTGATGAAGACGAGGAAGAGGAAAGCCCTGCCCGGATACGGACCCCGCAGACTCTCTCTCGAGGTGAGTGACTGGGGTGCATGAGGCAGTCCCGAAGCACCAATATTTCCTGATGAAGTAAATCATCCATCACAGCATTTAGTGTGTACCTCCACCCATATAACCAGGCAGGCGAATGTCTGAGTGCAGCAGCTGGGAGATTTCCCTTCATTCCCATGCAGAAGCCCAAACATACCTTAAGTAACTGCCATTTGCACTGTGGCCAAGAGCACTGGTGCATTCAGCAGAGGAGAACTCCTCACACCCTGTACTTGGGAACAGGTACAGATGCTTTGCTCCAAACCTGGGCTGGGGACGCAGCCAAGAGCCAGACTATCCCAGTGGCTGCTGATTAGCTCTTCAGGTGCCGGTCAATAGGCAGCCACACTAGCAGCCCCTTCCCCTACTAAGGCATGGTGAGTGGGCAGGCGTCTGTAGTCATAGAGCCAGCTCAACTTTTCTGCTGCTCTCCTTCCTGCCAGCATTGTGGATCAGGCACAGGCTGCAGGTATGTCCTCTTCCTCCCTGGAGATTTCTGTGACTGCCACAGGGCACGGGCTGGGTGTTCTATCCATTGGATGGGGCTCAAGACCCATGTCCAAGCTTCGCTCCGGACAGGAATTGTTCTGTTTTCCTAGCATCAAATAAGATCCAGGCACCTCCTACCAAAAATATGCTTGCATCCCTACCCTACCTAGCCCTCAGCCTGTAGAGTAATCTGTTACTGCAAGAAGCCATATCAGTGCAAACAGCAAGCCTGGTTCGGCTCTTGGGAAGGATGGATGAGTTCAGGGAAGAACTCCAGGCTCCAACCTTTGAGTGGTTGGAAATACCTATCCATAATCCTTATCAACCACCTGAGCTGCAGGAAGGGTGGGATTTCATCCCCCTTCCCTTTCATCTGTCTCCTGGCATATTTCTGCTCATGGGTCTCCTGGTACCCAGAAACCATCAGGAAGGCCTGGACCCCCTGAGGGAAGGTGACTAGTTTGTGCTACCCAAGTGCTACTCAGCAGAGTATCTTCATCCATACTGAGGAGAAAATTAACTAAGGCTGCTCTCAACAGGCTGGGGAGATGACATTGAATGGGTGCAGACATATGAAGAAGGTTTAGCAAGATCAAAACAAAGGTAATCCTCAGTTCTTGTTATGCTAGCTCATATGTTTAAGTGTGTGCATAGCTGTGTTCATGCACAGAACTAACAAAGCTATGAGATGATCACTTAAAATACAGAAGGCTCTAACCCAATGCTTGGACTGTGGACAATATTTTATAAGCAGTGCTTATCTGTATTGCACAGAGGTTGAACAAACGAGACTAAACAAGATTTCGGTGGGAGCTCACATCCTCAAAGATGCTCACCTGCATCTTCTTGGATTGAGTCTCACATACTTCTCCAAATCCTTTCTTATTTGCTGCCCTGGTTGATATTTTTAGCAGTGGTTTTAAGAGCCTTTAGTACTCAAAAGCCTTGAAGAATACCTGGTAATTATAGGAACTTATTTCCTTCCATGTTGGTTTCCACAGCCATAACAAATACAGAGGAAAAGGTGTGCAGGCAAAGGCTTCCAGAGAGCCAGTGGAAGCAGTACCCCAGCTCACCTTCATCCCCTCAGATGCACCCAGTCAACTGGGTACAGCTCCACTCCTGAGAAGGCCTGAGGTTGGAGCTTGGAGCGCAATGTCGTTTCAAATGCCCTTGTAGCGCCTCCAGAAGGCGTTACCTTCTCAATGATCCACTCCATCCTATACGAGTGTGTCCCCACCTCCCTACTAGCCAGGTTGCTATTGCTCCTTGCAATATAAATATATCTCTGGAGCATCACAGTGGCTTAACTCTTTGCAGGTGCTGTCTGTAAAACGTCTGACTTGCTTTCCCTCTCCTTTCCTGCAATGTTTTTTCAGCAAAAAGCCGCTGATGGTCATTCACCATCTGGAAGACTGTCCTTACAGCCAAGGTGAGCAAGGAAAACTTTTCCAAATGATCTGGGTGATCAAACTAACCCTGTCAGCACTTATTACCTGCAGAGTGCTTGGTGTGAAACCTTCTCAGAACATGCAGGGAAAAGGCAGGGAAAGGGCAGGGAAAGGTGGAGGGACAGTAACTCCACTGGAGACTCTTGAGAAAAGTTGAGGAATAAAAGTTGCAAAACTTTTCTGGACATTGGTAACATGCTCAGGGCCAAACTTCCCTGGCAGAGACAACGTGGCTAAGAACCACAGGCTAATTCTTTCATATTATGGCTTTCAAGATACAGGTATTCTGAAAGCACGGAGAGTTAGACACTGAAAATTATCATTATAGTCTCATGTTCTCAGGGGCTGCAACATTGCCTCAGCTGTGTATTTTCATCTACACAAAAAAAGTTGTAGAAGTGCTATAGTTTACTGCACTGGAAAGATCAATTCATCTTCTGGCCTGCAAGAGCATCTGTGACCATCTGTTTTGTATAGTGGACGACCTTTCCACTTACAATTGTGAGGCTTCCTGCCAGAGGGCATGTCAGGCCACCCACTATCACTTGATAACCTAGGGGGTTATCAAGCAAAAAAGATAAGGTTGTCAGGGAAGTTTGGCTCCAGCATTTCTTATTCAACTTCTGTAAGTACTTTTTCCCGCAACTGCATACAGCATAAATTGTGCAGATGACTCCTATGCTCTGTAGCGCAGGGCCATAAACTACTGAATAAAGCCAAGCCATGCCACGTGCATTCTCCTAGTGGGAAGGAAATATCTCAGTACACCAACATTTCAGTTTCTCTAAGACTAAATGCCTTTTGTATTTTTCTTTACTATAGCTAAATCTTCCAACCTGTGTGTGACACGTGCTTGTCAAAAAGTTTTGTTGGTTGCATAGTGGTGCGTTTAGGATGAATAAAAGATGCTGCAAAACCGTGAAAAGCAGTGATGCAGATTTCCCCACACATACCCACCAAAAAACAAATTTCTCTTTCTTTTAGCTTTAAGGAAGGCTTTTGCTTCCAGCACAGAGATTCAGCGGATGGCTCAGGAGGACTTTATCATGCTTAATCTGGTAGTAAGTTTGAATTTAAAATACTAATGAAAGTGTTTACTGTGGAATAGAATAAACCATCTTAAAATCAGAAAGGAATTCACTTTGGACAGATTTAAAGTTGTATACAAATTTTTTGTTGTTTTTAAACCTCCCTGGGGACATATAACAGCATTTGCAAAACATCAGCACAGTTATTCCTTGGAGGGAGGGCAGGGAGACACCTCCATATACACACACATATACACATACATATTGGTATGGGAATACAGTTTTGCACTCTCCAACCACAGGCAATATTCTGATACAAGGAAAAAAAATAGGAAGAGTCACCAGGCTTTATGAGTCATATGTCTGGGGTTTCTGTCCCCTCTCCCAAGCTTCTTGCATGGGTTACCTTGGACAGAAGAGGGGAGCTGGCATATTTGATCAGATCGGAATTGTTAGTTGTTGGTAGAAGGTTATGCGAGGCAACGTAGAAGGTTATGTGAGGCAAGGTAAGCTTGGCTTGCTTACTGAGGCAAGCTCAGCTGATTCAGTCAATTTCTGGCACTCTGAGGAGTGCTTTGACATATATCCATCACTAAGAGCCTATCTAACTCTCCAACAGCATTCCAGCAGTGATGACAACATGGCGCCTGATGGCCATTATGTCCCTCGGATCCTCTTTGTCGGTAAGTCTCTGGGGTTGGGACAATAATCGGAACAAAACAGCCAACTGGCAACATTTTTTCCTGTAGGGCCTCCATTGAATCCCTGTTGCTCCAAGTAACAGCTCATATTCTTTTGAGCACTAACACTGCAGGACGAACCAAGACTTTCCAAATGGAAACCTTAACTGGAGATACCCAAATGGGGCCTTGTACTCTGAGCACATGCTCAAATGACTAACAAACACTCCACCCAAGGACAGAGAAAGAGCCCATCACAAACCACAACTGATAGCTATTCAAAAGGCAAATCTACCATCAAACTGTTGGGTATGAACAGGACAAAGGCCAATTCTCTTGAGCCACATCAAGTTAGTTATGTGGAGAATCTTCTCTTGGTGGGTTTCAGAAGTAGACTTCCTTAATTAAAATACAGCTGCTGAGATTCTTGTGCTTCAAAAGGCAACTTTCCAGTCAGAAAATGGTGTTCACTAGTCTTTTTATAATTTTGTTAGAAGAAAAAAGAAAAAAAAAAAAAGATTTATCACATCTTCCCCACCCCACAAACCCTGTATCACTAATATCTTGGACTTTTTTTCCTCAAGATCCTTCTATGACAGTTCGAGCTGATATAACTGGCAAATATGGGAACAGGATGTACACCTATGAGCCACAAGATATTTCAGCCTGTGAGTGAAATGAGTACTGAATTGATCCTTTTGTAAGCCATCTCCAGTTTATACAAAACAAACATGGGTAAAGGAATAGGGCATATGAGAATCTTTAGAAACGCTCTGTTTCTGTAGTAAAGTCTGCTCATAGCACTTATTTTACTAATATGAATGAAGTTAATTTAGTGCAAGTCTCTCTCTGGAAAAAAAAAAACACTGCCAAATATTTCTGAAAAATAGGGCAGTGAACTATGGGAAGAGTTGTCCTCACTGTCTGAACCCCTGAGGATTGTCAGGAAGCTGGTGGTGTTTCCAGATGCAGTACAAGTTTGGCCCCCAAACCTCAAATTGCTTCTGTTCAAGGCATCTGCAGACTTTAGGGTATTGCTGTTCTACTTCATAACCTGAAACAACTGAAGCACTGAAGTGGTTTCCAGTTGTAATACTTCTGGGCCTAGGGGTAAATATAAAGTTTAAAAATAAATAGTCCCTGAATACTATAATTAAGGGTTCCTAAGGGTTAGTGCCTTTGCTCTCCCCTCTCTGGGCTGCCCACTTCAATAACATTTCAAGAATTGTAATTTTCTGAGGCCTTGAACCCCAGATCACAGTAAACTGGAATGAGCCAGATTCAAAAGCTGCAGGGCAAGAGAGAGAGGAGAGAACAAACCCATTTCCATAGACAAGCATAGAACAATACTGCAATTTAGGTTCACAGTCTTTCTCCTCGAGTTCTTGCGCTTCAGCAGCACACAGAGGGCACTTTCAGACTTTTGTCTGGCACTTGAACAAAGCTTTGACCCTTGCAGACACCTGCAAAGACAACAGAAAACAGCCTCTGTTGCACACCCACTAACACTGCCATCCCTAAACTCCATCTCATGAACCAGCGTATTCCAATGGCATAAATGCTGTCACTGGAGTACGGATTAAAATAGCATTATATGTACTTCTGCTACTAACAGGAGATAACAAAATGGTCTAACAGAAAAAAAAAAAAAAAAACATACATACACACCTTTTTTCCCTAAGCCAGTGGCTTGATATTTTCTAGATGCTAATTCCAATCTAACCCTGTTGCTGAGATGAAAAAAAAAAAAAAAAATGTTGAAACTACCTATTAAAATTGAAAGATGATGATTTGAAACACTTTTAAAAAGTCAAGCTATAAAGAGCAGCTTAGATTTGTGACCTCAAGCTATGTGCCTATAGCATCTATCCTGCACGTTAGCCAGCACACAACCACAACTTTCCCGTCGTTTTTTTGTAACGCCAGTGCTTTCTCTGCAGTGATTGAAAACATGAGACAAGCCAAGTCACTTCTCCACACAGAGCTCTGAACAGCGGGTGCCTCTGAGCTGCGCACACAGAGACCGAAGTGCTGAAAAACACAGCGAAACACAAGCCCGTGTGTGCATGTGTGTGCTGTCTTGTACGTTCGCTCAAATACCCTTTCAGAAAAGCCACATTTGCGAGAACGCCGTGCAGTTCCTGTGCAGTAGATGTGTGGAATGATGCACTACCCGCCCCTTTTTTAAGAAGTTTCTCGCGATGACTTCATGATTGTCATCGATGTACAAGAACTTTCCGTGCTGGTGTTTACAAACTCTTCTTTACCCCGATTAGCACAGTTTTTGAAAAGCAGCTTCATTATAGGGCTCAATACTTTAAAAAGGTATTTATAATGTAAGTGAGTTTTGTCCTGGGTGTGCCTCAGCTAGATCGCACTTGTTGCAATCAATTCTCTGCATCACAGGTTTTTTTCTCCAAGCCATAGATCTTTTAATTCTGGACTGTTTTCTCCTTCCCACAAGCCAGCAGAAGCAGCTAACAACCCAGCAACTGTGTGTTGCTCTTGATTGCTTTCAAATCACATCTGTGAAGAAACCAGGAGGCTTAAGAATGGATTATTTGGTTCACTTTGTGACAGTTCATGAAGAACCACAGTCTAGTATTTCTCTAATTGAGCATGGTTATCATGTCCTTACTTTACCTTTTCTGTTATCTAGTTTATATTTTTGTTTTGCACCCCCCCCCTTTTTTTTTTAAATACACAGAAATCTGTATTAAATATACCTTCACTGGTTTTAAATATAATTTGTATAGTAAGAAACAAAACCATGCAACTATAATATAAATTAAGATACACAGGTTTTGTGTCCCAGGGTTTGTACTTTTATTGCTTTGTGAATTACCCTGCTCACTAATCTGTATTTCAGAAACTTATTTTTGTTAAAGGTTTTGCTGTGCGATCCAAACAACAAAAATAAAACACCAGCCTATTTCCTTTCCAAATCCAGCTAACTTTGTTTTCCCGTTATTTTGCGTGCATAGCCATAATCAGAAAGCTGACGATCTGCAGGAATGAGCAACTCCCTCTTCTCGCAATCGACTTTTAACAGATTTCATCCCACTGCCAGCCGTGGGATCTGAAAAATTAAGGATTCATAAATCAGTACCAATAAACTCTGACTCGGCAATCTTTTAACAGCTCTGCTCACCAGCCCAAAGGAAAGATGTACTCTGTGGCTGTAGTCTGTGGCTACAGCTGTACTGTTCCTATGGCAACAGATGCCTGACACTAGCAAACTTATTAAGGAACCCAAACAGGTGTCAACTGAACAGAAACACTATTTTGGCCATACTGAGTCACAGTTTTAAAAAAAAAATCAAAACCTGTCCCTGCGCTAAGCATCCAGCAGAGACGAAACACGGTAACCCTTCTTAAAAGCAAAGGGATTGGGGGCAGAAGGAGGGTTAAACTCCACTAGGCATTAAAAACACAGGTATAATTCATAGAAGTCCCCCAGGAGCTGTTTTATAACTGCAGGCTGCTATATATAAATGTGTCCGCTTCCTGAATTCTCTCTCCTCCTTTTTTTATTTTTATTTTAAGGGCAGCAATAGTGCATAAGCCATAGAAACCTTACAGTCAAAGTGCAGAACTGACCAGTGGTGGTGGCCAACAGTAAGGGGGGACAAATACAGCAGCAGAATCGCACAGTAATCTCATCGGCTCCTGCATCGCAGCCACACAAAGGGTTACGTGCATCCAGAAACCAGCAATGATATCCGGTGACCACCAGGAAAATGGGAATTACTGAGGCATTTGACAAAAAGACCTGTGGCTGATTGAGCCATAAAAGTGGTAGCCCCTGGAAGAAGGCGAACGTGGGGATTTGCAGACAAAGCAAAAAAAAAAAAAGGGGGGCAAATAAAGGGCTCAGTAGTTGGGTGAAGAGCAACCACAGGTTTATGCAGCAGAGCTAGTACTAGGAGCAGTTAAATTAGTTCAAAGCAGAGGCAGGAGGAAGTCAGAAAGGACCCTGATACATCGAGCACCGACACGGTATTTGTGGTGGCCTGGAGGTGAGGATCTCCGCAGTACCAGGGTAGGATGATGTCGCCCAGCGGGGACAGGAGGAAGAACCTCAGAGCCCAGCCAGGAACGACTGGCCAAGGTTTACATGCTATAGCTGAATAGAGGCACACAGGAAATGAAAACTGGTTAACCGGGGAACAAGTTAACAGTTACTTACAAATTTACCAGTAAAATTTGTCAGCAAGGAAGCACGTATGGTGGCCTAAGGCCAGTTTCTCCCCTCTTCTCCCCCCTCTTCTTCTTTAATGTAATTCTCCCCAAAGATTAGAAAGGAAATTTTTAGCAGAAGCAGGTGTTTAACCCTTCCTGGTCACAGGAGGTCAGCCTGATCACAGTCTGAATGTAACCACTTAAATCAAATTCTGGAAAATTAAAGCTTTCTTAGGAAAGCTTTAAAGATGCAAAGTTTTTAAAATGCAGAAGATTTGCTAACCAAGAAGCTGATACGGTTATTAAGCACTCTACTACATGGATCACAACAGGAGCAGAAGCAGAGTTAGTACTTGCAAACGCCCTTCACTACAGACAGCTGGTCAGGCCCCACTGTATGGCTCTTTGCATGGATCTTCATCATCATCATCATCATATCCTTTGCACGTGCCGGCACATGGAGCCACGTGGTCTAATTCACCAAGGCGGGCAAAGGAGGTCAGCCAGACAACAATACATTACGCTTTAGTAGTTAGGCTTTCTAGCCATTGACTTGAGGGCTGGGAGCTCACACCTTGACTTCTCTAAGCTTGCCTGCAAACTCAACTTGGCCTTGTTTATTCTGGAGTTGCAGGGTCCCTGGCTACGGCAAAAGCTGAAGACGAACTTGCTCGTAACTGAAAAGCTAAGCAGAAACGTTGGTAAGCTCCAAAGACTGCAGCGAACCACGCTGCAGGGCACCGCTGGCAAGCCCTGCTCTTGCAGCTGCCTTATCAAAGGCTTTGCTCTCACAGCCTCCATAGTGCCGTGGTTAACCATGGCTTTGGGGAAGCAGCATGAGCAACTAGCGAGTCCCAGAATCAAGATGCTTCTCTGGAATATAGCCTCCTTTCTCCTTCTGCCATCATTCACCTGTCCCAGGTACATCACCCCGCACCACCTTAGGCCCTCTTTCTGCTTGAGGTTTATACTTGCAAAACGCTTCAAAACGCAAGCTACCCATATAGCGTCCTCTGAGGAGGATTCAGCAGAGAATGGCTTAGTTCTTCAAACCAGCCGCTTCTTCCACTTAAGCAAACTGGAATGAGTTCTGAGACAAAAAACCAAAAAAAACAAAAAACCAAAAAAACCCCAGGTCTTTCTCGTAATGAGGTTCCCAGAGTTGAACACAATGCACCAAATGCTCTTTTACAAGAACCGTACCAAGATCAGACACAGATAACAAGCTAACAGCTTATTCTTCAGGAAAACTTGTTTCTTGCTCTACACAGATCCACAGTCATCTAGAAGAGTGATGCTATTTCTCTTGAAAAATAGACCAGATTCATGTATTTGTGCGTGCATATACGATAACTGGGAGTCGGAATATGGGCCGTAAATTCTAGATTATGCTTTCTGAAAAAGGGGAACACGTAAGATAAAAAAAATCACTTCCACTCACATCCAAACCCCAATCCTCCTACTGAACTTCAGTCTTCCAGCCAGATCTGGGGAACTTCTCACATAGATCAGGGTGCAGTGCTAGGAACAGGTATGAAAAATCAAAGTACAGTTGAGGTTGTGCCCCGTCCAGTGTTAGAAAATAATCTACCCCATTCTCAATCAACGTATGTCAGTCAGACATATATAGACAAATCAAATAGACATATATAAATGACTCTTTATTTTGTGAAGTACACTTGAAAAATAAAAATGAAAGCTTTTCCAGACCTTGGAATATAACCAGGATAAACTGTGGAATCACAAAGACTCCATTTTAAAAAGGTGTTCCCTCTCCCCCCAATTTTTAGCAATCTCCTTCATTGTGGAATGGTCCACAATAATTCTAAGAAAAAAAATACGCATTTTGAGCCAACATTAGAAATAATTCAATATTGGTTCAGTGCAGGCACTGCTACATCGCACTTCAGCAAAGGCACATACTAAAATCCCCACTTTAGTACTTGTAATCTGTATTTAAATTTGTCCAAACTTCATGTTTTCAGGAACAGACCAGAATTATTAAAACGAAGGGGGGGGGGGGAACCAAGCTCAGTACAGCTGTCCAGAATGGGATTTGAGGAGTTAAAGCGACAGCAAAGTAAGTGCAGTGCAATGGAATAATTTGCAAACGCAAAGATTCCTTGTTTACCTTGGTAATCAGCATGTGCGATAATTTCTGTAAGCCTGTGGCTTTCAAGAACTCCTGTTAACATGGAAGAAGGTTATGCAAAATAAGTCAGGGAGGGAAAGAAAATGGCTGTCCTCACCTCAAACATCAAAAACAAAAAAAGCCATCCATAAAACTAGGATTACATTATTCAAGTAAAACCTAAGACCAAAAGAGTTAGGAAACGATAATATCCCCTTGCTTGACTGAATTGGCCTAGGAAAGCACAGAAGCAACTTGTTGTCCAGAACAGCAGAACACTGTTAAACTGCAGAAGTTAAATCAGAAGATCTTCCCACATCACGAAAATTTTCGTAGTCTCCTGTATTGGCATTTTCTACAACAAAAACTTCTACACATATATGAAACCATTTACTATAGTCCTCAAGAGTTACATGTATTTTGTTCACTCGTTATTACAGTTTTAATTAAAGGTACTTCAGCCTATGTTTCAATCGTCGTATTTGAACATTGCCTTACTCATTTCCAAAGAGGTTTGCCAGCCATTCGTGCAGTTCAACAAGGCTTTGTAGCGTATTTGATAACAGACTTCATTTGACACGGTAATCAATTTCTGCAGCTTCCCAGCAGGAAAAGGCAAGCACGTTACATGCCATCAGCACTTTACTGCTGCACAGAACGGCTTACGTGTTATCTTCTACCTTTCCTTTTTCACCTTATCGTTGAAAGTATGTTTAAAGTACGACTATGAGCAAATAATTCCATTAAGAGTTTTGGTTAGTTTGTCAGTATTGTTTGTGCTCAAAGAAAATTAGGAACCTGATGGGAATTTAAGTTATAGATAATCATGTACCAAAGGGGAATACCGTTTAAGTGTTGTAAATATTTGCAGTGTTTAAATAAAGGTGATAGAAACATCAACATTTAGTAAATCCTGCCTCCCAGCCTCATTAACAAAATATGACCTCTCATCAGATACTTACATGTGTTCTCAATCTTGAGATCCAATCTTACAACCATTTGGTAAACGTTTTACTCAATACACAAGACCCTTTCATACTCAGTTCAGCCGGTATTCAACTACATACATCCCTTCAATTATGGAGGCTGTAAATCAACACCAAGATAAGCATTTTCTTGCTCTTTCTCAAATGTTTCAATGGACATTAAAACAGTCAAACAAATGAGAAGTGAAGGAAATTCCTCTGAATAAGAATACTGAAAATAAATACAAGCTTTTTTCCTGAGTAAAATAAAACCCACCTAAGACTAACCGCTAACCACCACATCTGCCAAATTTTTCTACCCTTTTCGTTTGTTAATAAAGCTTGTGAACAACAAAAAAGCACTAGCAACTTTGAAATCCAAGGCTACTGCACTGTTGTTCCATATCACAAATTATAGGTCTTCAGGTTTTAGAGCGTGATAGATTTTGAACTTGCTCCTTTCTGGAATCAATTTAACACACTTTGTCCAGAGATTTCCACATTTCTTTCATGTTTGAAATCTGATTCAAGCTACTACTGACTTGGATTTATATATTAGATAGAAAATCAAATTCTGGTATCACTAGTAATTTCAGTGATGAGAGATGAAACAGTAATTTCTAAAAAGAGGGGTTTATGACTGCACCAAAAAGTCCTAGCAAACTCTGTAGTGATGGTGCAAGACGCCAGTTTTTCTGATTTAAAACAAAACAAAAACACTTAGAGTGATTACAGAACAGTCACCGAAGGTTACATGATATATTAATCTGTTTTCTCATGGATAAAGTGCATTTACCTAGCCTGAGAATAAGTACTACATGGATAAAGGGATACTAAAGCACTTCACCAAGAGAGATTAAAAGAAAACCAGAGTCATCCTGAATCCTATATCCAGTCTGTCTCGGTGATTCATGAAGACACTTTAGGGAAGACCATCCCTCTTGCTGGTCCAGTTGAGGTACTCCATTCCAATTCAGTACATCGGCAGTACGGTCTGGTCAAGAAATCATCTGCCTGGTGCTATCTGAAAACTCCAACGTTGATTGAAAGAGCCACTTCTGGTTTACGGTGCTTAATATTCACCTTTTCCTCAGAAAAAATGTGGTTTTGTAAACGTTCAGCTTGTCGGCTATTAAAAAAAGAAAAGAAAAAAATCAAAGATGCCTAGTATTGGTGTTGAGCCTAAGCATCAACAATGGCATACGCCGGCTGGACTGGATCCTGATTTCCACTCTAGTTGTAACAACTACTTTGCATCCCACTTACATCCTATACAGGGCCTGCACAGACAAAGAGTTCATTTTTCATTTCCAGAGACAGGGCCAAACTTAAGTGTGTTGCAAGGAGAAAAAAAGGAGGCTCAGTGTAGGAACACGGCACTTACTTAAAGCAGGAAGTTTTTGAATTGCTTTTATCAACTGGCACTACCGGAATTGTGTGCTCTAAGAACATCTTGCTATCACTGCGCTATCCAGGTAACAAGTTACTCTGAAAAGCAGCAAAATCCAGAAAAAGTGTTTTTTTCCTTTTCAAAATAAAAAAATAAATGTAAATACTCAATAATACCTTTTATTCTTTTCTAATGCAAGCTGCCTTTGCTTCTCTTTTCCAACATCATCTCTCACAGTGCTGAAATCCTTTGTGTCATCAAGGAGAAGATTCTGTTGTCAAAAGGGATCGAGTGTATTAGCTTATTCTTTTTATCTGCCAAGAATGCATCTCACACAGAGCTCAGTTTAAACAATTCATTGTCAGAGCACTTTTTCTAACTAGTTTTACAGCAGTTAAATTCAAGTAACTAAGTGCAAAACATTAGAAAAAAAAAGTAAAAATAATAACCTTCCGACTCTTCTGTTTAGTTTCTGTATTTAACAACGAACTGGCATCAGAGATATCACTCGATAGCTTAATGCATCAGAAGAGGACATTGGACATTTCCTGTATTGCTTTAAAACCCAGTGAGTATGTTCTTTCAGAAGTCTCATAAATCAGCCTGACTGACAATTCAGAGCTCAATATGCTGCTGGGCCATTCTTTCCTTCTTTCTTTTTTTTTTTTTTTTTTAATATTTAAATAGATCTGTAGTAAATCTTTGGACAATGTTGTGGATTTAAATTTAGAATATTATTTTTAATGGACACTATTCTTGGATTTTATTCTCACTTGGAAAAAACAGTTCATAAAACAAGGGCAAGAAAAATCCAGTTTCCTCTGGATAGCATTTGAGCATAGACCCAAAAACTGAATTTGCACTGGCTGAGGGAGAGTTGCACAAGAGACTCTTAAGTATTGCCCTCTAGTGCCTGCAGCAGGATATAAGGGCGATAGCATGAAATTTCCATCAGGCTGGTTAAGAACAGGAGAAAAAGGAGACAAAAAGCATCAGTAGCAACAGATTTCCCCTCTCCATACAATGTGTTGTCCAGATCCGTATATCGGCATTTTCATACAGATGTAACAGGATGCAGAAAAACAAGGAAGAAATTAAGACACTGCGGGACGGGGAGAGTGCCTCAAACCTAATCCATGCACAATAATTAAAAGCAAAGTTCATTTACCTTCACCCCAATGATGTCTCCATCTTTCAGGTGATAAGGTGCTGACTGCAAACTCTCCTGTTTTTTCTTCCGTTTCCTCTTTGAAATTTGCTGAGTCTGAATAAAATCAAAGCAGAAGACCCATACATAGCAGATTTCAGAAAGCTGCTTAAAAGGATTTTTGATGACAATTCCTTATAAAATGAGTACGGTCGCCATTAGCTATTCTTCCATAATCAGAGAGGCTTATTGTAAAGAAAATTAAAGATCCATTTTTGTCAGCAGCTTTTCTTGTCCTGCAGCTCACTTCGGCAAAACAAAACAAACAACTCTTATTTATAACAGTCTTTCCTCTTCCTCATAATCCCTTCCAGCTTCCTATATTAACCATAGTTAGCTGGTCATGAAGTGTCATTTACAGGGACCCTTGACCGTAGGATACCCTGTACAGTGAAGAGGAGAAATGTTTTCGTTCTGTGTTACCTCTGCTGATCTCCACTATTTCTGTTACATGCAACTTCTGTAGCTATAGACTGAAAAATTTAATTAAATATATACATTTGCATAACAAATGATTCTATACTCATGACCTGCAACTAACTTTTCAACCTGTATAAGCAATTTTAGTAGTACAAGAAGAGACAGGATGGAGGAGTGGTTTATTCTCTGCTAACCGAAACTGCTCTCTTCTCCAGAAGATTTCTACCTGGTTAACCGGGCAGAACTGCAAGTTCTGCTAACTTCTGATTAAAAACCTATTGTCTTCACTATGATTTCAAAAAGACCTAAGTGGTTCCCTGAAGAAATAAACTACCTCCACCACTTTCCAAATTCACCTCACAGTTTATGCTGCAAGAATATAAGGCTGTGCACTCAAATATATATACTCAAAAACTGCAGCACAAACCAGCACACACTTTTCTCAAAACAGCTGTTGGACTCAGTCATTCCAGATCTTACCCAGCTAGATATCGGCAGCCACTCAAATTTTTCAGGGAAGTATTTGGCTATTTCAATTTTATCTACAGGGAGACAATAGTGAGAAGCAACTCTTTGCCTCAGTGCCCAGGTTGTGCATTCTTTGGAGATATCCCAGACCAAATCCGTGGAGTGGTAGTAGTCCCTCTGCCCTGGTATGCCCATCTGCACTCGAAGCAACAGTTCATGGGAGCTGTCATGAGGAAGAGAAGATAGACAGTTTTTGTGAATCATCCTTTCAGAATCCAAAACTGCTACTCCTCCCCTCCCTCCACTCCATTTTTAACAAGGCTCTACCAGCAGAAAATGAAAATCGAGCTCCAAAGTATTCTTGCACGAAATAGCCATATCTGTAATCCCAAAAGAAAGTATTTAAATTAAAAGCTGCTAGCTTAAGTCTCATCTCAAACATACACCAATAAGAAATAAGTATCTTGAGGATTTACCCCAAATTCTCTTCTTTTTGCAAAGGTTCTATGCAGATTTCCACTCTGGCTCCCAGCTTATATTCACTGATAACAAAACAAAGATTACACACACATCTTCAGTCATATATTCTAAATTAACAAAAAGAAAATTACAGTTCTGGTCAAGTAATCTCATGCTTATCTGGAAAACGAAAGCAAGATGTTATTGGAACCAAAACTGAAACCCAGGAAGGTACAAAAATTGCATTCAAAACCACTGAAAATAAAGCTTAGTAGAATAAGCATGATATGATCTGTTTATGTTCCCACCTCCCCCTTTCACAGCACTTGAGTTACAACAGGTGCTCAACTCACAAGAAGTGAAACAAGCGGAAAAGAGTTTTCTGTTATTTGACTGAACCGATTTGTTCTCTGCCAATCCGTCTCTCAGTCCAGTAAACCATCAGTCTGTTGCTATGTTACTTGAGCGTTCAATAAGAAACCTACTTGAGCTGCTGCTTGTTGTTTCGTAAAAGCTTGCCTGGGCGCTTACTTTCCACTGTCCAGGCTCTGAGAAATGCAGGCAGTGGAAGGATCTGCTCCTGGCAACACGGCAAGGTCATGGCCTGCAAAATCAAATATCTTGTCAGTAATTTCAGCAGCCAGTCTGCTTGGAAAGATGAAAAATTACTTGACTGCTTCTCACCGCAACGTTGAAACAATTAGAAATAGGGCAAGGTATTTACACTTATCCCGCGTCAAAGGTTGCTTGCAACTTAGAGATGGTGGCTATGACGGACAGATTCTTTTTTCAATCTCAAAGCAAGTTGGACTTCACTCCCTCCCAGCATTTCTCAATTTAATGCAGGTCTCAAGTCGTGAATTTCTTTTTTTAACTAAAATTTTTATAACTGGAAGAATGAGGCTAACAAAATCGTTACCACAATCTCTAGCCAAGTGCTGAGCAAGCTCCTTTACTCCTTTAACCAATTAAACAATATTATTTCCACACTAAGTCAGCTTTCCATGGTCATGAGATGTATATGGCCACAGTATTTCACAGCAGCAGTCTGGCTGAGACTGAGAAGCAGAAGTCTCACCCAAAACATAAAGTGTTGGTATTGATCAGAATTGGAAGCGATAATAACGCAGTTTAACTAGAGCAACCAACCGGCTAAACATTGAAAGAGCTTTACTATAGAGTTGTTTGGTGGTTGGTTGTTTTTGTGTGCTTTTGGTTTTTTGTAAGGGTACTAAATCATACCTTTCTCATTAAAAAAAGTATAAAAAGGCACCTTAGTTTCTGGCCAAGGAAACTAAGCCACACCTTCGCAAATGACAAATATGACCTCTGCATCTAAAGAAATTCTTTATTCTTTAACTTCAACACATGAAAACACGCAAAAAAACTAATACAAGAACAATGTGAAAATGGAAAGTGGCTCTTTAGGAAGTGCTTGTATACGTGTGTTCCCCTCATTAATCAGATTTACATCATGAAATAAAAATAAGGCTGTAAGTCAAAGTCTCAGATGAAGTGCAACAATGCTTTCGCAGTTGGGATCACGTGATAGGTAGAATGGCAACTGCAGGGAACATACTAAGGAAACATCTGAGCTACATGCTCAAATTGCCTCTTGGTACTTACCACTGAACATGGCATATAAGCAAATGCCATATCAGAACATACTGGAGACAAGGGAAAAGGAAATAAAAAATATGTATTAATATAGCTCAATTAATCACAATGTTGCTGTACATTCAGAACACAGGAGAACATCTAACCTGAATCTTCAAATCTTCCAAAGAAGCTTCTCCTGCTATTTCTATACTGCCAGCATAACATAGATCCAGGTCTGTTTGGACGTATTCTGGCGGGGAGACAAAGAAACAGAGACAGACGCACACACATACAGAAAGAGATGGAGAGCACGAGCACCGGGGAGAGTGAGGGCAAGAAATGGGGGGAGATTGACAGGGAGGGAGACAGAGAGTGACCGGGGGGAGAGAGAG